AATGTTCGACATGGATTTGATTCTTTCGTTTGTGGTAGTGTCATAATTTACCAAATAAGGAAAGATTCTTATCACCCAAGTTTCAGTTGGATAGAAACTTGGAATCATGCAACTTGTATTGTGTGATGAATGAGAACCTTCATCTTTGGGAAATTAAGACTAATTCCTTGTTCACATGTATATGTAAATCAATTGAAGGACTAGGGGATTGGGTACACTGGGTATGCGTTGGTCAGGTCCACCACAAAGAACGATAAGACTATTCATCATGATTTACTAAAGTTTAGTAAATATGGTTATGCTTACAAGTTTAAGTATAATTCTGAACATTGGAAAAGTTTCAATGTATGGCAGAACGAATGAGAAGAATCAAATTAGGCAAAAAGATAAAAAGTTTCTCCAATCTGAAAATATGGGAGAGTACTTTAGTATCGTGTTTTATGATCATCTTAATGATTATGAAAACCATATCACAATTGATCCTCTAAGGTCATCTTAGTGCATTTCTATGGCTAAGAAGAGGAATCGTGAATTGTTGGAATGGTTAAATCAAAAAGGTGAATCATACTTCGTTCCAAATCGAGTCTTAGAGTCATACTCCAAGATTGAGCCTTGAGTGACATAATCTTAAGAAAGGTTTATAACACTTATAAAATGTAGAGTAAAATGTTTTCTACTCTTGTACATTTGAAATTGGTAATTTGTGATGTTTTGGATAAGACAAAGACCGACTAAGGCCAATGGTGTGAAGCGTTAGTCTTGATTAGAATCCGCACTAACTCTTGAATATTTGTTTGTCAAGGAATGGTTCATGACAAGAGAATCTTATATATCAAGAGGTCATTGGGAGACTTAAAGATCTTGACAAGTTTCAAGAACTAATCAAGAATAAACCTATTGTTAAACACTAGCACACGACTTGAGGTTTGTAACCTATCGTGTTGACATATTCTTATTTTTGTGCCATTCCAGTTGGTTGACTATGCATGTGAGTTCTATGAGTTCTCAGTTGTTTGCATAACAAATTAGAAGCGATGGCAGGCCCTTGTGCTGCCAGGTGGCAAGAAATTAAGATTGAACAAGTTCAGTCCATATGAGTTTGGATTTGTCACTAACCTTGTCTTGTGATTATGGTTATGAGAAATTCACATGGATAGGAACACAAAACACCATAAAATCTAAGTGTCATAAGGTTTCTCTCCAATTCATGAAAATGATTGTGAGGAAACGCTTTCACTAAGTAGATTTTAAGGAGATACAATTATGATATTTGCATTCTCCGATTCAATTATGATTACGACATCCCTCTTCATAATTTGAATTGTGAGAAATGGAAAAGGGTCTAAACATTTGAGACTTATTGATGTAAGTTCTAAAATTGTTAAGACACGCATGTGAGCTATCTAAGAAAATGTGTATGATTTTGAGAAGCCTAGATAAAGTCTTATCGAAGCATCTCGTATCAGAAATCTGAACTTTGGTAATGAAATTCAATGAGTATTGATTTCTAGAAATCCAGCTGATTTCTGGGTACATGTCAAAGCTAGTGGGAGCATAAGTGTTATGCTAGTAAGATAATAATTATTGTGCTAGTGGGAGCATAATTATTATGGTAGGAGTTGCAAGTTAGCAATGTTAATTATAGAAAACAAAAGTTTCAATTTGCAAAGTTGTGGGTTTGAAAAGTTGTTTTGCTATAATTAAGGGAGAGGAATTTATACTTCATTTCAAAATCTAAAAAACTTAGATTGAGTTTTTAATCAAATTTAGTCATATATATATATATATATATATATATATATATATATATATATATATATATATGAATGTTATATGAATGTATAATTAGAGAAAACATAGATCCAAAGCATTTAGGGTTGTATGCGCACCATAGGATGTTGTAGTATACCAAAACCAATCAGTTTCAACCTACGTGGCATGTGAAACCGCAGTGAACACCGCCGCCTATGCGGTTTGGGGTGTGTGGCCAAAAATGGGAGTGCTCCTTTCTCTCTCACTCTTCCTCCCTCTCTCTATCTCTCTCTTCTTTCTCTTTTCTCTTTTTATGGAATACTACTCCTTGAGTGTGGTAAGAAATTGTGGCAAAACGAGGGAATGCGGCACCACTCCCTCCAGCCTAATGCACCATAGTTCCAAATGATCCAAAGGTTAATGTACCATAAGTGAAGAATCGGTAAAACATCGTAGTTCCTAGTGATCTAAACGATAATATACCTTAAGTGAAGAATCGGTAATGGCATAATAGTGCCTAATTATCCAAAGGTTAATAGACCTTAAGGGGAGAATTGACAATGATATCATAGTGTCTATGGACCACATGTTAATAGATTTGAAGGGAAGAATCGGTAATGGCATCATAGTGTCTAATGACCCAAATTTTAATACACTCGAAGGTGAGAATCAGAAATGACGTTATAGTGCCTAGTGACTTAAATGTTAATAGACTTGAAGGAAATAATTGGTAATGACATCATAGTACCTAATGATCTAAAGGATAATAGACCTGAAGAGAAGAATCGGTAATTGCATCATAATGGCTAGTGACCCAAAGGCTAAATGAAGGAACAATTGATAATGACATCATAGTGCCTAATTATCCAAAGGTTGATAGACCAAAAGGGAAGAATTGGTAATGACATCATATTGACTAATGACTTTATGCTTCATAAACCTACAATGAAGAAATTAGTAATAACCGGTTCTACAGGTATCAGCTCCCTAAACTTTGGTTTGCTTGAAATCATGCATTGTATTGCACAACATAACTCATTATGTATAGACATCTCCATCCCTGAAACCATTGGTGGACATATGAGGGGGGTGTCCAGGGCCATTACTTCAATTCAACCCGAGAGTGTATTTTTTTTTATTTTTTTTTCTATTAGGTAACACGCCTTCGAAATATCAGTGTCATTATTATTCTTTAGTGTCACAGCTAGTCAAATCTTAGGCGTCCACCACTGCCCGAAACCTTATTCAAATCCCCTTACCCATCTCGATCCCCATCGGGGATTATAAATGAATCTCTATGCCACCTTCAACGGGTATCGGGGATCCGTAGCAGGGAATCGCGGATTTCTTTTTCTATTTTAATATAAATACTTTTATGTAAATAAAAACACTAAATTCTAATTTAACAACATAAGTTTAAAAAATTTACCAAACATAAACACATTCATAGATTGCATAAAAACTATAAACAACTTTTATAGTCAAATTTCAATACATACATGGAAAATCAAGTAACTTTAGCTATGACAAATTGTATGATATGATTGAATATATTATAGCATGAACATAGTATTGAATGGGAAGTTTCAAAGATAAAGCGATGTTTTTATTATATGTGTTACAACATAAACACACGACTTATGTGAGATTGACTATTTGATATTTCTTTTTTGAAAGCAAAAATTTGGTCAAATCAATAGGAACCGAACTTTTAGCATTAACAAAATAAACATGTAAAGAAATAAACAATAAACATCAGACAAAATATCATAGTATCGGTAATATTTGAAGTAAAAATAAATAAACCAATCATGGAAAATGAAAAAAATGAAGGGAAAAAAAACTAATGTGATAATGGGTTTGAGATGGGTGGGAGGGATTGAGCCCCTCTACCCTAATCATTATTTAAAAGTCAAAAACAAATTCAATAACAGATAATTAGTAATTAAATATAGAGTTAGTCCAAATCTATAACGATTATCAAGGTTGTTTGGCAAGGATTTATATAAAAGTTTGTTTTCAACGACAACGATGTCATGTAATGTATTTTATTAGATTAAAATGTACATAAATTATCGTCCCATGTTCCTATCATTTATATTATAATCTATATTGTTTATTTAATAATAGATAGTAATTTTTTATGTTTATATAATAATCTGATGAAAACCACCACCATCCACATAAAATACTCTAAATTAAATAAATTAAACACGTTAACGTGTCTGGTTTAATACAAGCAAAAAAGATAAATCCAATTTTAAATACGTCATTACACAAAAAATGTGTTGTATAATGAGCAATTGGGTATTTGAATAATAATGTTGTGTGAGAAGACGAGATTACCCTTCACGTCCTACCAAAGGCTACGTTGATTTTTTCAACCTGCCCTATTTTTATATAATTAAAAAAAATCAAATTTAGATAAACAAGTAAGACCCTATTAACCTATTTGTTCTTTCCATTAAAGACTATGAAAATAACAACACAGTTCAAGAAATAAAAGAAAAACATAAATAAAGCCAAATTGATAAGAATTTATAACTTATATAATTTAGACTTTATTATATTTGGTTTTTTATTTTATTTTTTTCACATGATTGAACTTGTTTTTTCATATGATCGGTTGGTGTATATAAAGATGGTTTATCTTATGTTTTTTTTTTTCAAATATTACCATTGAACAACTAAAACCTACATCAACCATCTAATGTAAACATTCCAAACAATTTCAATTGTAACATATGAAGGAAAAATAAAACTTAAAAAGACTAAATATGAACAAAACTTAATTATCTTACCTTATAACTTATAAGTCATTAACCATAAAAAAAATGTTATTTTTTGGGTTTCTTTGATAAAAAAAATGTATGTATCCAGTAAAAAAACTAACATCTAAACACCCAAAAAAAAGGTAGAAAAACAAACAAATAATCTCATCTTCAAACATTCAAATTGACGCTTTTTAGCGCCATCACCATCAAACATCAAACACAAATATGAAATATCAACATCAAAAAACAGATAAAAGCAGATGAAAGCAGCGAAATCAACAAGTTTCATGTTAAAAAAACACAATTACTAGTCAATAAACAGTCTACACGATCATTAGAAGAGAGGCACAGAACAACATTAATTCAAATATTTATTCAGAGTTGTTGATGATGATGATGATGATCAAAAGAGCTGAAAGTTGTTGTCGTTAAAACCTCTCTAGATCTTTATATATCTTCCATTAAAATCCAATTTCAGCACTTCCAAGCTGAAGCAGTCATCAGTTCTCGATTCTGCCAACAAAGAACAAGCGATGCCTGTTTCTTTTCAATATGAAATCCCTGAATTTGCATCCTCTTCACCACGCAATCTGCTTGAGTTTCTGCAAAATTACTTAGAAGAACAGGGGAGTATCCTCCAGCCGTAAAAAGTGACCTCCAATGGGGCATTGGTTCAGGGATTTGAAGTTTTCCCAACACCATGCTTTCGATTTGAGGCTGGAAAAGGAACCTTTCGATCTTGTTTGATATCTCTGAAACAACATTGCCACCATCAATGGAGTCTAAGAGAACTTCGTAGTACTGGAGACCCTGGAGAAGATAATGTGGGAAGGGTAGATCCGTCCTTTCACACCCACGATCTAGTGAAACCACGATTCTTGGGGAGAGTTGCTTCACGAAATGGAGAATGGAAGGAATGGCGGATAAGTGGGTGGAAGCCGACCAGATTGGGAAATTAACAGCAATGGCTTCATTCCCGGATACTGAAAACGACCTTGGATCGAAAGAATCAAAGTTCACAACTTCAAGCTCGAATGAAATCCCGATTTCATGAGCGAAATGTGATAAGTTTTCGTGCATGAGTCCAAGTTCGATTGGATGGTGGGTTGAAGGTGACGCGAAAGCAGTGATTTTCAAAGAACAGGGACCACCGCCGCCATTGTTGTTTTTTAATGGAAGCTCTTGTATGAAGGAAGCCCATTGTGCACCGAATCCGATATCAAAATCAATGATGTGAATGTTTTTAGCATCACCAAGAGCCTCGAGAATTGTTTGATTTGAAGTGAAGTTTATGAACTGAATGATCGGAGAAACTTCTGAAAACAATTTATAAGCTCCCATCTTGAAGACGCCATTAAAGGGTTGAGTGATTTTGTTGGGATTTGAATTTGAGATTAGAGATCCCATTGCTTCCTTGAAATAAAAAGCCGCCCTTTGTAAAGGCTTATGTGGTGCCGGAGCCGAGGAGAACTGGTGATTGAGCCGCGCCAATATCCCTTGCGCGTGTGTGAAGTTCCCAGATAGGATTAGCTCAGCCGCGGTGAATAGCTGGTCACAGATAAGCTGGTTTTGCTGCTGCTGCTGGGGGTGGTGGTGCTGCTGGTGGGCCGGTGGTCCTTGTTTTGTTCCGGGGACCATTAATGGTTTCTTGAGCTGTAACTCGTGACCCGGATTCGAAATCGCAACTTTCTGAAAACCCTGATTAACCGAAGCCTTCTGAAGCCCCAGATCGGAAGCAGGAGGTTTCTGAACATTTTGATGGAACACCGGAGATTTCTGAAGACCCTGGTGAAAGACCGGAGCTTTTAGGAGACCCTGATGATGGTGGAACTGTATCTGCGGCGGTGGCGTTAGATGTGGAGGGGGGTTTTGATCAGGGTTAGAGAAGGGGAAGAACAGTGGGTTTTGTGGGTGAAAATTTGGAGGCGCCGGAGTTTCAGAAACGGTGGTGGCGGGAGGGGCATTTTGGTCAATTTGGTTGCTCTGCAAGAGCTGTTGAAGACTCAAAGATGTGTCATCAAAGTCGCCGGAGATCCACCGAAGAGACTGGTCTTGTGCCGGAGAAGCCGCTGATTCAGATAACAAGCTTTCCCAATCTTCCAATCCAACTCCGAATCTTCGTTGTTGAAGCTCAAATTCCGCCGGGATGGGTTGTAGCTCCGACCACTCATCTTTCCGGCCACCTTCACCGCTAATATTTGCCAGAGACCCAGACATGCACATTTCCTGCGGAACAGAATCCGGCCATTTTTGTTGAAGGTGATGGTGGTTGTTAATGTCAGGGTCAGGGACACCTAGCGATGGAGCAGCGGTGGTGGTGCAGCCATTACCACCGCCACCGAAGGAGGAGGATAAGGTGGAGGTTGAGGTGGAAGGGCTTGGACTCCGCCGTGTATCGAGAACAGAGATGGGTTCATTACTATTGTTGCTGCCAAAACAGCCTTCTTTAAACTTATTATTAGATCCTGTTAAAGCTTGAAAAGCTGCAACTTCAAATGGCATACCTCTCATCATCTGTTCATCGAGAAAACAAAAAATTATTTACACAAAAACAAAATAATAACACATTTTTTTGGGTTATCAAGATTTTTTAGCTTTCAGATGGGTTCAAATCATGATTATTTTCAGTTCCAAAAAGGGAAATTTCATTAAACACATAAAGAAAATGAGAAATTAACAAACATAATAAGAACAAGAACAGCTTTCGAGTAATCAAGATAGCTTTTGTTTCAAAAATAATAATAAATATTTATGGGTTTTTGAGATTTGGAGCTTTGAGATGTGTTCAAAATGAGCTTTAAATTGACCAAAAAAAAAACAATAAATTAACAAGAATGAGAACAGTTTTCAAGAAATCTTGATGATGATGATGTTTAAAGATTTGGAGCTCAATAAATAAGCAAGAGAGAAAACAATCAAATCCCACCGAAAAGAAAGAAAATAAAAGCATAATAATAAGAACCAGATTTTTTTTTCAAAAAAAAAAAAAAAAAAAAAATTTGTGGGTGGTGTGATTTGTTTGAGATTTGAAGTGATGAAGAAACGAAAGAGTTGGTGACAAAAAACAAGCCTTTTATCTTCATATCATCATTTGAGCTCCATCTTTGAAGAATGAATTTGCTTCTGCTTCCAAATAAAAACTTTCTCTCTCTACTGTATTTGTTTCTCTCTCTAGAAATTAGAGAGAAAGTGTGGGTCTTTTCAGTTCTTGGCCTTTCACTTGGTCTCTCCTTCTATCCTGTTGTAGGAGTCCTGTGGTGTCCCGTCTTGTTTCCTGTCATGGATGGATGTGTACATCAAGAAATAATAAGTACTAAAAATAAAAACTCCTTGGAAAATGACATGGTTAAATGTTTGAATGTTTTTTTTTCTTTTCCTTTTTTTTTTTAAATACAACAAATTTTGTATAACTAATCCATATCAATTCATGTAAAATATTGTCTTTTATATTGTTTCAAGTAAAAGCTTTAAATCTGATTTTCCAAGTATATGTCTTTAACATCGCCTATTGAAGCTCGGATTGTCCGATAAGAATTCTCAAATAAAATGTGATATCTAGTCTTCTAATACTTAGTTAATAAATAGCAAAATACATTATTATATTATATGGTTATTTTTTAAAGAAATAAAGTAATCTAACCACTTTTTAACGGTATTTTAAAAACAATAATTATTTTTTTCTGAAAAAATGACCACAAGGTCTAGAACGGGCATTCTGAACTCGAACAAAATGGTCTAAGCCAAATATTGTAGTCTAATGCTATATATATGGGCTCATCACACAAAAAAATTTCAGAATAAGTGTTCCGTATTTTGCGACCCCGAAGGTTGTTCTACACGTATTTCGGACAGAGCTTTGAACATGTATTCGTCGAATCAAGTAACTTCTACTCTTTAAGTTACTTGCATTTGTGTTTACACACTACTATATGTATTTTGAAATGCGTAGAACAACTCCGGAATACGAAAAATGAGTCTGGATATCTATTTTTTGTACATTTTTTTTGTTTTACACATATGAGACCCATGTAAGTATCTTATAGTGTGTTTAGGTCTAGTTTTTTAGTCCTCAAATCAGTTTTGTAGGGAATCCGGAATGGTAATGTACGTCTAGAATACGAAGAACTTAGTCCAAAACACGATGATCAATTCCAGAATGATGTTCTTGATTGACACTCTGAAATAAATCTTCATTATTACTTTTTTGTGTATGATATTGTTTAATAACATGTATTAGTCCAAAGACGAATTTGCAAAGATGTTAAAAAAAGTAGGTTTTACGGATGAAAATGTTGTATTCCATTTACAGGAGCTTTCAAAATTACGTCTGATAAAGGTAAAATCGAATTACAAAAATTTGTAATAAGTTTTTTATTTTATTTTTATGGTAATGTATTAAAATGTTGTTGGAATTTTGGGATGCGTTAGAAAATAAAATAAACGGCTAAAGACACCTAGAAATTTAAGAAAGAAATCGGAAAAGATGTTAAATCTTAAATTAAAAGCGGATATAACTCCGAAAGATGGAACCGGAGTAAGTTCAGACAAACCAATTATTATAGACTAGTTGCAATTTTTTTTTTTTTGTTATGGATATGTTTCAGCAAGTTTGTTTTATTTTTGGATACGTTTATATATATATATATATATATATATATATATATTATTTTCAGTCTCCAACATCCAGTGACTCGATCGATGAGGGTTAGGTGCCAATATAATATTAAATACTAGGCTTTGAAGACAGCAACAATGTCTTTGTTAAATGATTCATGATTATCAATGTGCAAAACAACGAATGATAATACTGAAAATCCTATTACCGCCTTTTGCGGCCGATGAGCGGAGAAAACTAGCATTGTATAATATGCAAATGTTCCTTATCACGATGTCTGAAGATATACGACAGTTTGTGAACACAATTGACCTCATCGAAGAAGCACGTTAGACAACTTCAACAATAGAAGATCGAGTCCAAATGACTGATAATGGATTTAGCCTAATTGAGACATGCATGGAATTGTTTGAAAATCATGTAGACATGGCTAGTTTGCATCTAATGTAAGTTCCCGGTTATCCTCGAAATGTACTCTAGTTTTAAATATTGTATTGTCTTTTGAAACTCAAATATGTAAAAACAGGGTTATCTAAACTGGCAATGCTTTTCATTAACATTAGTAATGCTTTTCATTAACATTAGTATAAAGATCATTACAAGTCCTAATACATACTTATATTGGTTTCCACAAATTAGGAAATTGAAAGGGATACATATTTTGTTCGCGACCGACAAAATCTCCTCTACTTCTAACAACATCTATTAGACGATCCCGTTCTGCACGAAGCTTATCAATCTCCACATTAGCATCTTGAATTCACTTCTCCCCTTCTTTGACTTTTTTCATAACTTCAACAACCCATTTTTTGTAACAATTGGCAAATTAGGTCAACTATTTATGGTTAATCATTGTGATTATTACTATAATTTAGACCTATTGTACGATAAGTCAATGTTTATAAAGCAATTTTACGTGGTATTATACTTAATTTCTACCTATTTTGAACTCAAAGACTTATGATTCTCATCTGAATCCATTTTAAATGACATTATATTCCAATGATGACGGTTTCGTGAAAACAACGGAATTTCGCCAAATTGAACATGAAACCTTAAATAATTGATCTCTATATGCTTTCTATTATTGGCAATGCATTCCGGGAATAATATGTATAAATCCGATCCGGTAGATAAAAACTTTAAAGATGGATATGACATGATATTTCAAAGTTTGAGTACAACTATATATATATATATATATATATATATATATATATATATATATATATATATATATATATATATATATAAATGGGACATAATTCATAAACAATTATAGGTGTTTTTACTATAGTTTTTATAAGATAGACAACATGTTATCAAATGGACATCAAATAATCACAATATATATGGGTTAAGTAATAAACAACTAATATATATATATATATATATATATATATATATATATATATATATATATATATATATATATATATATATAACACCCGTGTTCCATATTGGTTTACCTTTTGTAACATCCCAACCGTCAGGTATTATTAATTTTTCCATTTAGACTTCATGTCTAAGGTCTACTCGACAAGTTGGCGCTTGACTCGTCGAGTAGCGGCAGGCCAGGACACGTCAATTAATGATTGACTCGTCGAGTCGGCATGAAGACTCGACGAGTAGGAGCTGGCAGTGGAAACCCTAATTTTCAGGGTTTTGCACCCTATATATTGGACCATTAGCGCCTCCCACTGTCCTCTATCACCCTCTTGAGACCCAGAAACCCTAATTTCCGTGAGTGAGAGCTTGGAGGGTGTTTTGGAGCTTTGGGAAGTGACTTTTGTGAAGGAAATTTGTAGATCAAGAGGCTAGCATCAAGATTTCTGTGTGGATCCAGAGTCTACTTCAGTTTGGGCACGTTTTAGAGGTAACCAGCGGTTACCTTAACCTCTTTTTCTTCTAGAATCATTCATATGTGGAAACCAGGGCTTTCTTTAGTTATTCATGAAGGGATTTTTTGGTATGGGAGCTAGATCTGAAGTTGAAACTTTAGATATGAACCTCTTTTGAGTCTTAAGTCCATAAAGTTTCCAGCTTTTGCAAGGATGAGACTCTCCTATGATGTAAAGCTCCATTAGAAGCTTAGATTGGTCATTTAGAGCCTTTAGGGCCTTGCATGCGTGTAAAGTTTGCAACTTTACGTGATAAACATGCCTTAGAAGCTTGGATCTGTAATCTGGAACCTTGGCATGGCTTGAAAAGTGTCTGCATGGATGAAGGTCTGCAAGGACTCGGCGAGTCATATGAAGATGGTCATGAACTCGTCGAGTTGATGAACAAACTCGGCGAGTCCGTTGAAGATTGCCTTGAACTCGGCGAGTCGTTCGAAGACTCAGCGAGTCGGCTAGGGTTTCTCCCAATTCTTGGACACGTATGAACTCGGCGAGTTAAAGGGGAACTCGACGAGCCAATCAAGGATTTCATGACTTCTCGAGTTCAGGAAGGACTCGACGAGTCGAGTCAGCATGGACTGTTGACTTTGACTGTGGACTTTGACTTTGACCAAGAGTTGACCAGTTGACTTCTGAGGGTATTCTGGTAATTTGGAGATTTATGAAAAAGGGTTTTATGGTAACTATAGGTGGTGGAGTTCGTGTTGGTGATCCGGGAGTTGAGCTTTCTAGTTTCAGACGACGGTTGAAAGGTGAGTTATCCTCACTATACTAAGAGGTCTAAGACACCAAGGCCGGCCCATTGGATATGTTATCCTAGCAGTGTTAGATGTGGAGTATAAGTTCGTGTTGCATGCTAGTAGTTATGCCAGTTAGGTAGACCTGTAGGACTACCTGTGATGTTATATGATTATTGCATGCTCGGTGGTTATGTGGTATGTTATATGTTATGTGGGATGGGTTGAGGTTGTATTGCTCCGTGCGGTAGCCAACAGACCTTAGGAGCATTCCAGTTACGGGCTAAAGGGAGACTCGTACTGTGGGCTCGGGAGCATTCCGGTTACGGGCTAAAAGGAGACTCGTACTGTGGGCTCAGGGGTAATCTAGTCTGTAAAGCTGGGGACCCATTACATGTTTTTCAGTTTGTTATGATATGTTTATATGGACTGTATGTGTATCGGTATTTTGGGGGAACTCGCTAAGCTCTCGAGCTTACAGTTTCAGTTTATTGTTTCAAGTACATCAGGGGATCGCGGCAAGGCGAAGGCGTGATCGTACAGCTGCTCATGTTTTGTCTATGTTTCTGGGAAAACTCTGATATTATACACTTTGAAAACAAAGTTGTAATGATTTTTAATGGTTTGAAATGTTTTTAAAAAGTTTAAATTGGTTTGAATTTTTGGGTGTTACACCTTTATATTTTTCAGGGGCTAAATATGGAGTTTTGGGGAAAAACTTTGGGCCACGGCGTGGTGCAAAGATGCCCACGACGTGGCATCGAGTAATTAGACACATGTTATATTAAGCCGACACGGTGTAGCCAAGGGTTGCCACGGCGTGGCAGCTG